ATGGAAAAAAAAAAAAAAAAAAAAAAAAAAAAAAAAAAAACAATTTGTGGTATATACATATCATATATATATGATGCATCTATACAGGGGACTGATATTTGGCCATTTCAGCAGTGAGACATGAAGGGAGGAAAGGACTGTACTTCACTCTTCACTGTACTCTCTGCAGTACTTAGTTTAATTATTTGTATGTAATAGCAGCTGCATAAACAACTCAGGTCCCTTGATGGTTAGCTTACTTTCATATTGTATCTGACATTAAGTCCAACCCTAGTTTATGGAACAAAAGATGGAAAATGAAGTGGAGGTAAAAAGAAGCTAATTTTTGAATGCCTTCTATCAGACAGTCATGGAATTGCTTTACATTTATTAATTTGTTTAGTTCTTACAGTAGCTCATTGAGGAGGTATTTTTTTTTTCATTTGAAGATTTATTGAGTTATTGAGTACCTTTAGGTGCCAGTAGTGAACAAAACAAAGAAAGTGCCTGCACTTACAGAGCTTTGGGTACAGAGGAGAACAATTAACAGATCATCTCTCATCTCATGAATAATACATTCCATATATAATTGAAATGTGATTTGGGTTCTGAAGGGAAGGACCTGGATGTGAGGAGAGAATATAACAGTAAGACAAATTTAGATTGAGGTGTTAAGGAAGAATTCCTGAGGAAGTGATTTTTTTATTGGTTATGAATATTCATGGGGTATAAAGCTGACCATTACCGCTTGTCCCCAACATGTGATGGCCAGATCAATACTGGCAGCATGCCCATTACCACAAATTGTGATTATATCCTGTGTCCCCCATCCAATTTATCCCCAACCTCCATCCCCATCCCTCTTTCCCCCACTCCACTTTGCAGTTCTAGGTATACTCTCTCCCTCTGCAAGTCAAAGGCACCACTGTGGTCTTTCTTTTCTTTTTTCTTTCTCTTTTAGCTTCCACTTATAAGTGAGTACATGTGGTATTTTTCCCTTTGTGCGTTGCTTGTTTTGCTCAACATAAGTTTCTCCAAGCTCATCCATGTATTTGCAAGTGGCAGAATTTCATTCTTTTTTATGGCAGAGTAGTATTCCATGGTGTGTTTGTGTGTGTATGTGTGTATAAATACATTATATATGTATATATATATATATATAAATATATATATATATATA